TCTTGAATAAGTTTTCTTGCTGCTAATCTATGAATCTTTGAACCTTGCAAAGTAACGGGATCCAAAGAAATATCAAGCTTCATTGGACCATCTTGAGAAGTGGCATTTAAACTGATAACTTGACACGGTTCAATACTTTTCTCCAAAATACAATATACAATGAAACGAACACCAGGATAAATAGGTGGAATTAAATAAGGAGATTGTCGAATCTTAATATCAGTAAAGATATTACTTGGAGGTGATGGCGGAGGTTCCGTCTTGTCACTATATAAACTAATTACAGGCTTATCTTCTTCCATAGTAGTTACTTCCTTTTCGGTTGATTCCGAGAAATTAACGTCAGTCCAAGTAATATTGTAATCTTTTATCGGTGGTTTTAATGCATTCTTTAACATTCCAATAACTTTTTTATCCATCCTTTCATTAGTTGTTACAAATTGGGCGTATCCTCTTCCAGCACGAGCAACAGATTCGACTAAATTGTGAGAAACAGAATCACCAATTCCTAAAGAAAAAAGACGTAAATCATCCTTCTTTTTTTCTTCATTTTCATGTACAAGTTCTACAATTTGTTCAACATTATAAACTTCTCCATCCGTAATGAGAAATACGGAAGTTGGCATATCATCTCTTGAATTCTCAAATACCCATTTTATTACTTTAAAAATTTCCGTTCCACCGTAATCTGAGGTCATTGATTGAGCAAGATCAATAGCCTGAGATAATGATGTTTCGGAATAAAGCTGACTTTTTGGGAAAAGAGAATCGTGACGAGATCCAAAAGATACTACATTAAAGTAACAATCTTCTGGAAGAGAGCGTAATAATAACTCAAGCGCTTGCGCAGCCTTTTTCATAGGTTCGATGCTCATTGATCCTGATCTTTATCAATAAAGAAAAATATATGTTAGAAACGTGTTTTATTTTTTTTTAAAAAAAAAAAATAAAGCGTATAACGTATAACTTACCTATCAACAACGAAAACTAACTCAGTCATGGTTGTGTTTAACGCGAACTTTGGAACCAAAGTTAACATAACACAATTTGATTCCGTTTCAGGATTGTATTCAACGAAACCTCTGAAAGGATTTTTTTTTTTTAAAAAAAAATGGATAAATTAAGAAATTTATTTAACAAAAAAAAATACAACATTATTGCATAAAAACATTTACCGAGGTTGATCAAGATCTTTACTCTTAACCACAAGAATGAAATCCTTTTCCAGATAAGTAATCTGCTCGGCCAAAGTAATTTTAGAGATTTTAGGATTTTCATCGATGTTCATTTCAGTAGAAATTTTATGTGAAGGTGATTCAATATTTTGAATAATTGAAGTCATTCTGCAAGTAACTGTAAGATCTAGATAATAATCAACATTCTTCGAATAAGATACAACACCAGCTTTAAGTCTTTTCCCATGTGATGATGATGATGTAGATGAACCATATCTCGGTGCGAGGTGAGTTGGAAGAACAAAACGAATTTTTTCGGTTTCAGAATCATGTTTAAGTTCGGTAACGTATGTAATCTTTATAACTACGGTTTGCTCGGATAATATATTTCCAACAGAACATTGAAATATGTCTTCTGATTCAGATTCTAACAAATAAGCACCATGTCCTTGCTAATCAATTAAATTGATATTATGTTAATTTTCATTTCATATTATAATTGCTATGAAATGATCTTTGAAATTCTACCTGAATTGATTCAGTGTATTCTTTAGCTGCTTCTTTTGCTTCTTTAACGATGCCTTTTACTTTTCTTTGTCCATCAATTTCCGCTTCGAATCCGCAGACGGATGCGGCTTCATAAATAGGAAACTTATAAAGAGCTTCAATGGTATCTTTTTCAACATTTTTATAAGTCTGGCTGATAGTAACTATATAAAAATTTACATAGTTATGTTATGTTACAGGTTTACAATACAAATTCATCATTTAATACGAACCTTCTGCGATCATATCAACGACTAAAAGGGATGTTAAAGTTATTAATTATCTAAAACACAATAC